GCTTATACGTTCGACGGAACGCAGCACCAGAGCGTCAGATCCCGTGAGTTCTTCTCGGCGTGTGGTCGGCGGGCCTGCCGGCTGCGCGAGACCTGATTCTAGACCATCTCGCGGCTCTTCTGCCGCACAGCGGCCGTCATCGCCATCGTCAAGTTCAGAGGCTCGCTCTGGTGCGCCATGGTCCAGAGGCTCGCCGACATTCCCTAGAAAATCAGAGGGAACTCTGAAGCTCACAGGGATGCGCGACAAGTGCTGCTCATCCGGGATGCTTGCACTGCTAGCCTGGCCGGTATGGCTGAGCTGGCGGAGGTTGAGGATGAAGCGTTGAACCAGCAACGGAGGCTATAAATAATGAGGTCTAGTCAGCGATTGATACCCAGCCGGCCGAGCGTAGTATGAGATATTTACCATGGACTGGACAAAGATGCTCGCATAGGTACCCTGTCGACATGAGATCAGAACCTTCCCATAGAGATGGATTTCGATAATTACCTGCACCAGGAGCATGTTTGAGTAGGTCAGGAGTTCTAGAACATTCATGGCTAGAAGTGCACTTGGGGTTCATATGTGAGACACAGCCATTGCGAACGCACATGATGTGGTAGCTTACAGAAAATAAACGGTGCCTAGACAAGATTCGATGAGATTCGTTGTGTATGGGCAGGTGAAAGGGGATGAGATATATACCGTCTCTCAGAAGCACAGTCGAAACGGAAGAGCTAAGCTTGAGCCGCCGCATCTCCCGCCAGTGCGGATACGACTTGATCCATGTCAACACAAGGACGAGGACATCGGAGGCGATTAAACTGCTTCTAGTAAAAATTAGCACTGTATAGATGATTGTGGTGAGTCTGCAAATATGCAACATAAATCATGACAGACACACTCCTGATCAATGCCGTTAGTGCGTAGCCAAGCAGTCACTGTGCAATAGGACACACTCTGTATTCAGCTTTGGCTGCACGTTAGTGTATTCGTTGCATCCCAAGGACGGCGGAGTCTCCGAGTATATGATTGAGGTGCGCATCCAATTGTACTGGATATATGTCAGCGAAAATAACTACATATCCACTTGAGGGTTGGCTTACGATATTTGTCCCAACTGGGATCGCCCCAAGCACGAATACAGCCGTAGGGAAGACATATTTCATCTGCGAGCCTTGCCAAAGCGCGTACACGCGAAGAGCGGAAAACACTATGAAGAAAATCAGTCCAGGTTTCAGGTAATTTTGATGGCGGATGTGTCCGGTACTCACTAGAAATCAGGACCGTACCCATCAAGTATATGAGCATGGTCAGTGCGTAACTCGGTCTACACCTTGTGGCGGACGCAGTGACTTGTCAGAGAGTATCCCACCGGAATGCGTACTGTATGCCTCTAGAGCGGTACCGTGAGGGCAATCTACTTCCATAAGTGAGAGAATACTTACACCACGTTCGTCCTTCGGGTAGCACAATTGGCAGCGCCGGTCCTAGAACCATGAACCACCGGATGCCTAGTAACAGCAGTGAGGTAGCTGTAAACTTCCTTTTCCACACCGCCACGATCTCTTGGTTCGACGTTACGACGAATTCATAGGCTACAAGGCCTGAGAACAAACTATATTCAGCAGAGTGCTGCTGGGGCTTAGTGATGCAACAACGTACATAGTAGCGAAAATTGCACGTAGTTTTCTGTCCGACTAGATCCATGTATTGTGCATCAGAGGCTGAAGATGTGTGATACACAGAGAGAGCACTTGCATTTGTTGGGACTCCTGGTCCAAGAGTTTATTCGGCTGCGCCATGTCGCGTGTGTAAGGAGGTGCACTGGACTAGTCGGTACAGAGAAAGGGACTCGCCTACAAGCTATATATCTGCTGTGCTGTTGTAATGACCAGTGTTGTCGTCGACATCGGACCCGAACAATGGCAGCGAGCGCGTCATCCCCTCTCGAAGCATGTGAGACCTGGCTTTCGACCTTTCCAAAGTGCCTGAGAACTTGAACTCAGAGAGGCTCCCGCCCTACTGACTCCAATCCATTTGAAAACATCGGTAGCAGTTCAAGTTAGCGCACCGGAGCATCTGGTGTGGCGCGATTGCTGGAGAATGGTACAACCTACGTTGACCTCTGCCATCAGATGGAAGTGTGGCGGGAGAAAAGTCCATTATCCGTTGACGACAGTTTGAACGTTATCGGCCCGGGCAACGTGGACGTTAAAGAGGCGGTGTACAACACGGCAAGATCTGGTCAAAGAAGCGATGTATCTGAAGTGTGGTCAAGGCAGGCGCGGCCCAATGCAGGCTGAGGATTATGGCAACAGAGAACGGACAGCTCCCAGAGGTCGAGGATGACTAACGAATGGCTCCACGGAAGCGCGGGGTGGCGTCCACCGATTTAGCTCTCCCTCTCCGATCACCGCCCACGCATACATGGCTCCTCGACGACGTTGAGCCGCACGCTTCTGCCGCTCCAAGTTTTTGCTCTCTGGTCGTGTGCCCCCTGCGCATATTTTTCACATCTGTCCCTAACATTTCCCGACCAGGCACAAGTCACTAGCTAGTCTAGTCCGACGAACACCGCACTCACACTTCCATCTCCTTGACTATGACAGCACGCCTCGACAATGCCTGTCGAGAGATTATACAACGTCCCGTCGTCTCAGGAGGCGAAGACGCCGTTCAACGCACGCACCAACAGTCCCCATTCCCAGCTCATTCGATGAAACAGTCGAGCAAGCTCGCAACCGAAGACGGCGGGAAGACCGGCTAGACGGGGTCCAACGCGGAGCGACCAACGTCGGCATATGAGCAGGACAAATTCTCGGCTGGGCGCGTGCGGTACTACAGGGGATTTTGGCGGCGGGCGACGAGGAGGGGCGAGAGCGAAGCTCCGACCGGATTATCGAGAAGATCAAAGTTTCGCGCCGGGCTCGCGCTCGCCTTCAGCCCCTTGCAAGGCTCGTGAATACATCTGTCCACAGCACGGCTAGACATGCCCACCGACAGTGCGAACCCTGGGTCCTCACCCCCAAGCCTTCGCCAACCCAAACGCAGCACCCTTCCGAGAACTTCCGGCGTCGCGCTGCCGTCACTCACGAAGACGTCTCAGAGCTCGCCCTCATCCTCCCTGGGAGTGTCAGGAGTCCCAGTCCAATTAGGACCTCTGGCACTCCTTTCCGGCGAGCTGCCCAGGGCTTTGCAAGGAGCGGCGGTGCGACGTCTTCGCCCCCACCTGGGACCTCCGCACTTTCCTACGGGCGGTCCCAAGTCGAGACTCTCCTGACAGATCACCTCGGCGAGAGCGGCTTCAGCGAACCCACGTTCAACCAGCGCGTCTTCCTCGATGCCGCGTAGATCCTCGTGTACGTCTCCTTCGCGGTCGGCAGGGGCACTGCACGCCTGGTTTACTGTCGTGTCGATGCACTTTGATGGGCTCGAGGGCCATCTCGGCCGGCTGGCTAACGCGAATCGCGACTTCCGCATGGCTTTCAGAGCAACGTGCCAAATCTAGATCGACGTCATTATGACCGGCTGGGCTTCGGTGTAGTAGGGCGCGACAAAACCTAGATAGCATGAGTGTCTGTTCGTCAGCATGCGGGCCCAGGATGAAGAAAATTGTGGTTTACATCGTATGTATAGACATGGGCGGCTCGGCGGGCGATGCCAAGGTGAGCTTGAGGTTGCTGGCAAGGACCCGGAGGTGCTCGGTGGTAGTAATAGGCAGGCGGGCCTCGAGATCGCTGCGCCGTCCGAACACTTCATCGTCGAGGAGAGTACACGGCCGGGCGACACTCAGAAGAACCGGTACGACAACTTGACTGCATGACCCGATATGCGCGTGGCTTTTGTCTGATGTTCAACTAATGTAACCATGAGCACAGCGCCGGTGAATGCTGCAGCAAACGTACGTACGAGTCCATGAATATTTGGCTTTTCGCGCGTCTTCCTCCAACTATCGCCCGCCCGTCCACCTCCACCACGAGATTCGACACGCCCAGCACGTTCACCCGCGCGGCGGCCGACGAACCGCTACGTGCTCCATCGATGATCGGCACATTCAGGTCCTCCGTGAAAGATGCATATGGCGCCCACCTGCCGTTGTCGAGGTTGAAGTCGCGATAGGGTTCGGCGCGTCTGGGGCAGCTTTCCATGCTCGTGAACACCGCCCGTCGACAGGGCCATCTGGGCGCAGCACACCAGCTGCGCCTCGCCGCGTCCGACTGCGATACCGGTTGTAAACGTGAAAGAGAATACGGCTCAGGCGAGGACCCGGTATGGCGTCTCTCACGTCGGCTTCAAAAGAGACATACCGCCAAAACGCGTCACAGCGAGCCGGTCGGCGAGGAGCTACGAGACCTTGCGGCGGCTGTCTCAGGTGCGGCTGTCTCAGGTGAGATAGTCGGGGCGCAGGGGTCTCGCTACCATGACTGGGCGTAGAGCGTGCACCCAGTCCTGAGACTCGACGCGTGCTGCGAACAGGTTGATCCAAGTGGGAGCGACAGCTTCTGCTTCAACGTTCTCCGGCAGTGTCGTGCCCAGGATATCGAAAGCTGGAAGTGGGGAACAGGATTGAGAGGAAGAAGACGGGATGAAAGGCGCCATCCGTATCAACCTACATGCCCAGCACTTATCGTTTTCACCCACTCGTCTGGGTAAAATACCTGCCCGGATATGTGCATCGTGAGATGGCATAGTAGAAACTGAAGGGTGTTTGAGGTTACGAAGGCACATACGAGTGCCATATACACCGTACATGTGAAGATGTCCGAGTGAGGCTGGGGACAAGCACGTACCCCGAGAAGTATACCACATGAAGACCGGTCTCAACACAGCTCTGCGGCCCATCCTAGCGTGCCTCCACATCTCGCAGGCGATTCAAGATGCAGTTTCTCCCTCGATGGTGACAGCTTAGTTGAAATGGATCGCGTTGTAGGGAGCTGCTGCCAGGCTAGTCGTGGTCGAGCGACGAAGACGATGGGTGATGTGCCGCAGTGGCCGCCAAAGTGATGGTCAGAGCAAGAGAGAGAAAGCGCCTCGCAAAAGCACTTTCCAAGACTTCGGGCCCATGGATGGGGGAAGGCATGGGAGGGAGCGCATAGACGTGAAGCCGCGTGAGGCGAATGCAAACTAATATGCGGCGAGAGTTATTTGCCCAGGCTTACTGTGTCATTCATTACGTCAGCGCTCAGTGACTTTTGCCACTTACCCAATCGTCTCACGCTCACAGCTGTTCTTACCTCCAAGTTCCACTTCCGTACACGCGTTCCTTCTCTGCTTCGTGGCTTATCACATCACGCCCCCGCCTTACAATCCTACCCAATCTCCCGCGGCACGCTTTCGTGCAATTTGTGCTCTCTGTCCCTCCAACTGAGACCTGCCAGTTCAGCTCTCTAGCGCACCGCGGACACCGTCGGCTCTCGGCGTCAACACCGCCGTCCCGCAGGCCAACAAGAGCTATGCTGCGGGCGGGTCACCCGTCGGCGGTGCCCTAGCGCACCATCGTACCTCTGACGACGCACGGAAGCTCATTGCGTGCAAGCACAAATAACGGATCCGGAAGGCTTGCGCGACGCTGCACAAGGAGATCTCACTGTCAAGGACGTGGGGGGACGAAAGGCAGAGGCATATAGGGAGTGTACCATGGCAAGTTTCGTATTGTACGCGGCACAGGGCGATGGCCGAATAAAGGGAGGGACGAACACGGGCAGGGACGTGGCGGTCGCGGCCTTGGAAGCTCCGGGGCGCCGGCACTCGTACTCTCGTGGACAAGTGTCCTAGCTCCCGACATCCCTTTGTCTTTGGCCGAGTTTTCACACAGATATACCAATATCCTTTCAACACATTGAGTCACAATTGGCTATGTTGTCAGCTAAATAGCAACAAAGTTCTGTTGGTCATTGTCCAATGATTGCCCACGAACTTCTCAGCTCGGTCAAATCCTTCAAGAATGCTGAACCCTGGAGGCAACGGTAAACTGATTAGAAATCGCGGTATCCAAGGAAGCGACAGAGTGGAACATACTGGATGAAAAATGACTGATCGTTCGCGACTGCATTCCCTCCGTGTGCGTTCTGCGTAGCCTGGCAGTTGAACGCGAGGTTGTTGACGGCCGAAGACTGAAGAAGCAGCTCGAGCTCGTCAGCGAACATGAAATCTCTTATTGACACGACGTACCCAGTCGGACCGGCAGTACGTCAGAGGGGCGCCGGCCTGGTTAACTATGAAGCTCTCGCAACTGTTGAAGGTCAATGTCAAGACGGCGTCGCTCCCAGAGGGGGCGAGCGAGAACGCGTCACCTAGGACACTTCCGGGTCAGTGTGCTCTCAGCGACGCGTCGGTTCAGATAACTTACCGTCGACGGCGTTCTGGCTGTCGAAGGACAGGGCTTCGGCGATGATTTGGCAGTCGTTAGGGTCTGGTCCTCCACCGGCTGGGGTGAAGCAGTTGGTAGTGGCTACGGCCTCCGGTCAGCGAACGAATGCTATCGAGATGAGAGCCCCCTACTGGGCTCGCCGCATGCGCTGGTGCTCTGCCTGGTCTCGATGGCACGGGCGAATTGGGGCGTCGGAACATTGTCGCAAGCGATGCGCCGTACTAGAACGTCATTGTTACGCCCAATGTAGGTGGTGTTGAGAGCACGAGGGTTCTGGCAGTACGGGACAGAGGGTACGGCCACGGCGAGCGCACTGGAAAGCAGCAGTGCTAAAGAGAAGACAACTCGGAGGACGTGCATGGTGGTAGATGTGCTAGCGGGTTGCGGACACTAGGAGAAGTATGCTGGTGAATGGAGGTGTACGGCCGCCGAACACACACTATATATGCCCAGGCGAACATGCCAAGGACATGAAGTGTCACTGCCATTGTGGGGGCGATGGCCATTGTGCCCCGCCTCGTCTTGGATCCATTTACGTAGAGTCTTACTGTTGACTGCACCGTTGTGAAACTCGCTGTCACCCGGTCAGACTCGTCAGGCGTCTGTCACGGTACCTGTGCACAAGCCTGTACCAAATGCACCAAACCTGCACGAAGTTGACAATCTTGCATCTGGAACTCGTGTGAGCTAGGCTCAAAGTCGCGGAACGTGCACTGAAATTCGCATAGCCCAAGCTTCAACTCGTGCGAGCTACTCAGAAACTTGCATGGTCTGCGTCAGGGATACGATGGTGCGCTAGGGCACCGCTGACGGGTGACCCGCCCGCGGCATAGCCCTTCTGGGCCTGCGCGAAGGCGGTGCTGAGGCCGAGAGAGTTGACGGTATCCGCGGTGTGCTGGATGGCTAGTCTGGCAGGTCTCAGCTGGAGGGACAGAGAGCACAAGTAGCATGAAAAGCATGCCGCGGGAGATTGGACAAGATTGTGAGGCGGTCAGGCGGAGGTGTGATGTGATACGTCACGAAGCAGAGACGCGTCGCGTGTACGCGTAAGTGGAACTTGGAGGTAAGAACAGCTGTAAGTGTGGGACGATCCGGTAAGTACAGTAGCAAAAGTTAATGGATGCTGACATAATCAATGATGCAGTAAAGACAGCGAGTTTCACAATGGTGCAGTCAACAGTAAGGCTCTATAAATGGATCCAAGACGATGCGGGACTTCATGGTCATCGCCCTACAATAGCAGTGACGCTCATATCCTTGGCACATTCACCTGGGCATATATAGCGTCTTTTCGGCAGCCGTACACCTCCATCCACCAGCATACTTCCGCTAGTGTCTGCAACACATTAGCACATCTGCGAGTTGAAGCTTTAAAGCCTGGGCTATGCAAGTTTGACGGTAGCTCGCGCGAGCTGAAGCTGACGCGCTGAAGTCTGGGCTGTGCGGATTTGAGGATAGCTCGCGCAAGTTGAAACATGGGCCACGCAAGTTTGAGAGCTGCTCACCCGAGTCGAACGTTGAAGCTTTGAAGCCTGTCCATGGGCTATGCGAGTTTGAGTGTGGCTCGCGCAAGCTGAAGCCTGGGCTATGCGAGTTTCAGTGCAGGCTCTGCGACTTTGAGCCAAGCTCACGCGAATTCCAGATGCAAGACCGCCAACCCCATGCAGGCCCGGTGCACTCTGTACAGGCCCCTGCACTGGTACCGTGACCGACGCCCAGCGAGCCTGACCGGGTGACAGCGAGTTTCACAACGGTGAAGTCAACCACTAGTCAACCGTGAGACTCTACGTATTTGGATCCATGACGAGGCGGGGCACACCTGGGTATATACAGTGTGCGTTCGGCGGCAGTAGTACACCTCCATTCACCAGCATACTTCTCCTAGTGTCCGCAACCCGCTAGCACATCTACCACCATGCACGTCCTCCGAGTTGTCTTCTCTTTAGTACTGCTGCTTTCCAGTGCGCTCGCCGTGGCCGTACCCTCTGTCCCGCACTGCCAGAACCCTCGTGCTCTCAACACCACCTACATTGGACGTAACAATGACGTTCTCGTACGGCAAATCGCTTGCGACAATGTTCCGACGTCCCAATTCGCCCGTGGCATCGAGGTCAGGCAGGGCAGCATCGATGCTTGTAACGCATCTAGCAAGCACCTCTCATCTCGGACAGCATTCGTTCGCTGACCGAAGGCTGCAGCTATCAACAACTGCTTCACCCCAGGCACTGGAGGATCCAACCCTAATGACTGCTTTGTCATCGCCGAGGCCCTTCTCTTCCTCTCCGACCAGCCAGGCGGTGGGTTACCCGAATCGATATGTTGTTGAGAGCATATTGATTATAAGTGTCCTAGGTGACGCGTTCTCGCTCGCCTCCTCTGGGAGCGCCAACGCCATGACATTGACCTTCAACAGTTGCCAGAGCTTCATAGTTAATCAATCCGGCGTCCCTCTGACATACTGCCGGTCCTCCTGGGTACGTCGTGTCAATAAGAGATTTCATGTTCGCTGATGAGCTCGAGCTGCTTCTCCAGTCTCCGATCGTCAAAAGCCTCGCGTTCAACTGCCAGGCTACGCAGAACGCAAACGGAGGGATTGCTCTTCCGGAGGATCAGTCATTTTTCATCCAGTATGTTCCACTCTATCGCTTCCTTGGATACCGCGATTTCTGATCGGTTTCTCGTTACCTCCAGGGTCCTGAATTCTTGAGGGATATTCCTGAGCTGAGAAGTTTGTGGGCAATTATCGGATAACGTCCAACAGGACTCTGTTGCTATCTAACTGATAAAATAGCCAATTTTGACTTGTATGTTGAAAGGATATTGGTATATCTGTGTGAAAACCAGGCCAAAGACAAAGGGATGTCCGACGGGAGCTAGGACACTTGTTCGCGACAGTATGAGTGCCGGCGCCCCGGCCCTCGGCCCCCGGAGCTTCCAAGGCTGCGACCGCCACGTCCCTGTCCCTGCCTGTCCATCTCTGTTTGTGTCTGTCCCTCCCTCTATTCAGCCATCGCCCTATGACGCGTACAACACGAAACTTGCCACGGTAAACTTCCTATATGTTTCTGCATTTTGTCTCCCCATGTTCTTCAGACGCCACATCTCCTCGTGCAGCGTCACGCAAGCCTTCTGCAACACTCGATGATCTTCATCAAACCGCTGTAGGGTGTGCCGCGGTCCCTGAGCGAGAACAATTCACCAGACAGCAAAGGCATCATCCTCTGCCCCATGATCAAAATCACAGTTGGTGTATTCCGGCTGACAGGCGTAAGATGGAAATGAGCAGCAGACATGAGAACCGCAAGATCCAATTTTGATATAAGGTGGGGCCCTAGAGAGCGAACATGTCGACTCTGGTACGGAACAGCACACACTTAGACTCTTCCTAGGAACATACGCACACGCACTGCCTTAGACCACCACTAAGCTCTTCCAAAAACAAATCTGCCGCCTTCTCTGCCACGCCACACACCGTCGCACTGAAGTACGCGCTGATCTGCAGCGGCACAACTGACGCGTTGACGAGGCGCCGGTTGTGCGTGCCGTACATCCTCAGCCTCGCATCCACAATCCCTTCACCTGCATAAACAAACGCACTTGAGAGACAGTATATATCTCATCCCCTTTCACCTGCCCATACACGACGAATCTCATCGAATCTTGGTCTATGCACCGTTTATTTTCTGTAAGCTACCACATCATGTGCGTTCGCAATGGCTGTGTCTCACATATGAACCCCAAGTGCACTTCTAGCCATGAATGTTCTAGAACTCCTGACCTACTCAAACATGCTCCTGGTGCAGGTAATTATCGAAATCCATCTCTATGGGAAGGTTCTGATCTCATGTCGACAGGGTACCTATGCGAGCATCTTTGTCCAGTCCATGGTAAATATCTCATACTACGCTCGGCCGGCTGGGTATCAATCGCTGACTAGACCTCATTATTTATAGCCTCCGTTGCTGGTTCAACGCTTCATCCTCAACCTCCGCCAGCTCAGCCATACCGGCCAGGCTAGCAGTGCAAGCATCCCGGATGAGCAGCACTTGTCGCGCATCCCTGTGAGCTTCAGACGTTCCCTCTGTATTTTCTAGGGAATGTCGGCGAGCCTCTGGACCATG